AACCTGGTTCAAAATTTCCCCTTAATCCCAAATAAGGAAAGAAGACGCTCACCAGACAATCTGAAACATGTCCAGTATAAGCTTCCTTTTTATAAAACTCTTTTGCTTTGTACTGCACTCAGGAACTCTTACCCGACTTCCAGAAGAGACATTCCCTGGTTCATGGACTGAAAAATAAAGCTTATGAGCTCATACACAAATTTAATATTGTAAAAATTTTACTTTTAACAGCCCAGATCAGTTTTGTTTGATTGATAGACTCAGGGTTTGGGGGGGGGGCAGGGGGGAAGGAATAAGGAAATGAATAGTCTTGGTAAGATCAACAGCCAGGTATTATACACGTAATTGAGAAGTAATGGAGGAGAGCACCAATGGAAGTTTAGGAGATTGGGGTCAGTCAATAGAATGAAGGAATAAAGACATCAGAGGGCCTTACAGGATCACAAGAATAGGGTGTTGAAAAGAAATGGAAGTGAAGGTCACTAGAGTTGAAACAGAACAAGGAACTATAAAACCAGTGTGTTGGATGGGTGGTCCACCTGGTCAACGCAGTTATCCAGAACAATGGGAGAATTTGGGATAGACATAAAACTGATAAACTACCAAAGTCTTTGATCAATAAGAGGAAATGAGCTAGAGGGAGACTGACAAATGACAGTAACAAAGAAGGATAGAACGTGTTATGGATTGAATTGTATCCCCCAAAAATGTGTGTCAACTTGGCTAGGCCATGATTCCCAGTATTGTGTGGTTGTCTACCATTTTGTAATCTGATGTGACTATCCTATGTTGTAAATCCTCACCTCTATGGTATTAATGTCGCTATGTGTCAGAATCAACTCAATGGCAACAGGTTTGGTGTTTTTTTGTTTTTTTGTTTAATGATGTTAATGAGACAGGATTAGAGGTAGTTATGTTAATGGGGTAAGATTCAATCCACAGGATTAGGTTCTATCTAGAGTCAATCTCTTCTGAGATATAAAAGAGAGGAGCGAGCAGAGAGGAGAGGGACCTCTTACTACCAAGAATGAATAACCAGGAAGGGAGTATGTCCAGGTCCAAAGGAGCAGAGAAACTCCTAGGCCCACTCAAGGGAAGATTGATGACAAGGACCTTCCCTCAGAGCCGAAAGAGAGAGAAAGCCTTCCCCTGGAGCTGAATTCAGACTTCTAGCTTCCTAAACTATGAGAGAATATAAACTTCTGTTCGTTAAAACCACGCACTTGTAGTATTTCTGTTGTAGCAGCACTAAATAACGGAGACAGAAAGTGATTAAGATTCCGAGTTTCAAAGGAAGGAGAATTTTCACATGAGAATAGAAGAGCAATGATTTGAAATGAGAAGCCCGTTAATTCAATTTACTGGGTTAAACACAAAAAGACATGGGAGAATGCATAGCGTATAAAGTGAGGAACTGAGGCCTCCAGTCAACAGCCAGGGAAGAACTGGGGCCTCCTGCCAACAGCCAAATGAGTTAAAACTGGAAACAGATCCTCTAGCCCAGTCAAGCCTTCAGATTACTACAGCCCAAGTCAACATCTTGAACACAACTTCCTGAGAGATACTGAGCAGCTAAACTGCTCTCAGATTATTGACCCTCAGAAACTGTATGAGAGAATAAGTGTTGTTTTAAACCACTAAGTTTTGGAATAATTTATTACCCCAAAATGATAACAGATAATTAATATAGATTTTAGTAACTGGGATTAAGGTGCTGCTATAACAAATGCCTAAAAATATAGGAGAGGCTTTGGAACCAAGTAGTGTGGTCTTGTTGGCTCCGGGTTACAGCTTAAAGGAAAGTGAGGAGAAAAAAAAAATGTTGTCGAGTCGATTCCGACTCATAGTGACCCTACAGGACAGAGTAGAACTGCCCCATAGGGTTTTCAAGGAGCGGCTGGTGGATTCGAACTGCCAACCTTTAGGTTAGCAGCCGAGCTCCTAAACACTGTGAGCAACCAGGGCTCCAAAGGAAGGAAAGTTAAATTTAAAAAGAATCAGAAATTGCTAGTTTTGAAAATTCCCAGCCTCTTCAGATGGCAAAATAAAAAATGGCTTCTGGGCAGAGTTTAACTTTAAGGCACTGCTAGGAAAACATAGTCTAAACATGAAGCAGAGTATATGGCTGCAACATCATTTGTTAAGACCTCAGAACAGTCAAATGCAGTGCCTCAGAGCACCAGATAAACAAGCAGTGTAAGGGTGTATCTCATAGATCCTCTCAAGCAAACAATACAAAAACAAATAAAAAACAAAAAACTGGTTGCTGTCAAGTTGATTCCAACTCACAGTGACCCTATAGGACAGAGTAGAACTGTCCCATAGAGTTTCCAAGGCTGTAAATCTTTACGGGAGCAGACTGCCATATCTTTCTCCTGTAGAGCGGCTGGTGGGTTCGAACTGCCTACCTTTCAGTTAGTAGCCAAGCACTTAACCAGTGCACCACAACAGCTCCTGGTGGCTTCAAAAGAAGCCAAATGTATTATCCCTCATCTGTCTCAGCAGAAGCCCAAGGTAAATAATGATTTACCTCAAGTTTGTGTATGTGGCTTTTGTCTAACAGACAATAACGTTCATAGAAGACTCACAATGGTTTTAAGAGAATTATAGTTGCAGAAATACCTCTAGTTTGGACTTAAAGGGTTTGACCCCCACAAGGGTGCCATGCACCTTATATTATTAGCAAGCTACCCAATCTCCTTGGTGGGCCACAAGCACTTCATTTGCATAGTCCTCACCCAACGGTTTGGTGGGAGCTACAAAGACTATGGCTAGAAGGGCCATACTAATTCACTGCACTGCACTGCACTGCACTGACCTAATCAAATCTTTTTATTTAAATCCATAACTTGTTAATTAGACAGTTTATCTCCCAACAGTTTTTCTATTTTTAAAAAGAATCTAATAAATAAAAATAAACCAATGGAATAGAATTGAGAGTCCCCACAATGTGTCAGCACTCATTATTTCCATCTGGCCTGCCCTGTTTCCATCCATCCAGTCTCCCTGCCCCTCCTTGCCTTCTCATCTTTGCTTTTGCGTAAATGTTGACCGTTTGTTCTTATATGGCTGACTGTTTAAGGCGCACATTCCTCACAAGTGTTATTATTTTATAGGCCAATCTATTATTTGGCTGAAAGGTGATCTCTGGGAGTGACTTCAGTTTCAGGTTAAAAGGATATCTTAAGGTGATAGTCTCAGGAGTTCCTCTAGTCTTTATCAGTCCAGCAAGTCTGTTTATTTATTTTTTTATGATTTTGAGTTTTATTTTCCTTTTTTTCCCATTCTAACCAGGACCTTCTATTGCGATCCTGGTGAGAACTGTTGGTAGTGGTAGCACCATCTAGTTCTAGTCTCAAGCTAGACTAGACTAGACAAGCTAGTCTGTGGTTGTGTGAGCCATTCGTCCTGTGGACTAATTTCTTCCTTGAGTCTTTGATTTCCTTCACTCTCCCAATAAAACCTGTTAACTCTAATTGACGTATTTGTCAGATTTTTCTTTCCACAATATACACTTACCACAATTTTTAAAAATTTAACTGTATCATTCTGGTTTCTAGGGAAGCTTTCACATTACCTGAAATTATTTAAAAAATATATCAGTAATCATTTTTCTTACAATGTACCTCAACACTTTTTAAACAGCACCATACAATTATAAGGACATCTTAAAATAAGGAACATTTATAAAATAATTCTGGCTTCTAAGATTCATGTAAAGATCATATAGTATTACTGTTATCAAAAGACAGATCTTTGACAGTTTCATAGTTTCTCCACTGATTTTCTGTGATCACCACGACCAATGACTAAAAACATCTCGGGACTGGTTTTCTCACTTGTAAATATTGGTTATTAACCTGAGTTTACTTTGTTTCATGCTGAGAAAAATGGTATGTTGATACGGTGTTTTGAGCGCTCAAGAAAGTAAACAAAGGTGGAGTATTATTTTCATGTCTAAAATGTTTACCTCTACTGGTTTTATGGCTTTTTAAATATTGTTTTCGCGGTGACTTTTCCAGTTACTAGACACTTAATAAAATGGGTAACTAAGAGAGGGTGGTGACCAAGGTTTGGATGTTAAATCACACTGCTCAATGAAAACAATTTAAGTCTTGCAAATAAGCGTGGATAATCGGTTTTCCGCTTCTCCAAACATGAAACACATCAATCCTGCGCATCTGACCCACCATGAGCGAGCCTCTCGATCCAGGCCCGCCAGTGTAGGCGGCGGCTGCGTAACCGCGCGAAGCCCGGCCACTGCACGGGACTTCCCACGCGTTGCCACTCGATTTTGCAACTTAGTCTTCAGAAAAATTGTTTTAGGTTTTTTGCGTTTTAAGACACATGACCGGGGGGGAGGGGGCACAAGAATGGCCGCAGGGCACGCATTTCCGACAAGGAGAGGCACCGAAGGAAGGGCTGTGACCTCTCCTCCCACGTCCTCACTAAGGAGGTAAAATGGTCGCCGCAAACCACCACCAGGCAGGGCTCGGGCGGGGTTTCGACGCGGCGGAAGAGGATCCCGCGAGATTCTGATTGCAGAACCTGTCCTCAGCCACCCCGCCCAGCGGTACTGACAACCTGGGCAGCTGCCGGCCTGGCGCTTACAGCAGAAGGAACCCCCGGCCAGGGTCGGAGGCAGCATCCCAGCGACCGTGAACACGGACGCCATTACTACCTTCCCCTGCGGGCGCCTCAGCCGCAACCCGCGCCTGAACCGAGGGTTGGCCCGCCCAGAGAGAGAGACGGGGAAGGGAGGGCGGGAGGATGAGACGGGAGGGGCGGGGGGCGGGAGCGGGAAGAAAGAGGGGAGGCGGGGCCGACGCGTCGGCCTTTGGAAGCCTCAGAAGGTGAGGGCGGTCTGTCTTCCTCAATGTCCCCTGTCCCTACGAGTAGGGGCTCAAGATGGAGGGCGAACTAGGCCCACCAGGAACTTCCCTGTGCAGCCCCGGGTCGCGGTGAACAGCGAGGTCAGCTGCTCTCTCGGAGGCTCTTACCTGTGCTTTCCCATTCTCTATCCTCCGCCATCTTGTTGCGGAGCCCGTCGCCTGGGAGATGCCTATCGTTAACCTAGGTCGCGGCGCCCTTTCCCCCCTCCAGCCCCCGCTGGGAGGATAGGCCGCTCCGAATCCCCTGGGTAGGAGACCTTGGCGAGAGAGTGCCGGGAGGGGGGAGTGCTGCGAACGCGCGCCCTGCCCCACTTCCCGCCACGTGCAGCTGCAGCGCCCGGGCGACCAGAGGCCGCTCCAGTCGCCCAAGACCCACTGGCCACGCATCCGGGCCCTTTCAGCCTTTGCCCTCCAGTGCCAAGGCTTGAGCCCTGATCCCTCAGGCCTCGGGGAATTATTTAATACTAAGGTTCCGAGCCCCTTAGTATTAAATAATTCTTACCCATCTGGGGACATCTCAGACACACTACTCTCCCCCCTCCTCTACTGTTTGTACGACGTGGCGTTGCTCGAATTTTTACTGCAGATTTGAAAACGCAGCCGGGAGAGCTGGGTGAAAGGGCCGGCTCCCAAGGGAGTGATTGCCAACCTGCAATCAAGCCTCCTCCCCTTTCCCATTCACAGGCTGCTGCCCTCCGCGTTTTCTCCCGGCCAGTCTTCCCCGCCCTCCCAGAAAAGGCCAGCGCACAGCCTATGAGAACTAGAGCTAAAACGGAAAACTGGGCCGAGTGCAAGAGGAAACCAGAGCCATTAGACTATTATTACTACAGGAGAGGAATAGCTGTAGAAAAACGTGTAAAAGCGCAAACATTGCGTCGTCAAGGCTGCAATTTCTGATACAAAATAGAAGGTTCTCATAGCAACAAAAACATGCTCATGTTGTTTTCAGTCTTAGATACATTTAAATGTTCCTAGTGAAATTTGGCATGACTTCCAGTTAAAGTTACTACGGAAGTGGGACATAAAGTGATACTCGTGAGGAGTGTGCCTTTTAGCTCCAGTAGACACAAGAGACTAAACGGGCAGCTTCTGTCCGGAGGTGAGATGGGAAGGCAGAGAGGGTTAGGAGCTGGTTGAATGGACAGGAGGAATCGGGTGGAAATGAGAAGTGTGCTGTCACAGTATGGGGAGAACAGTTAGAGTCACATAAGTATGTATAAATTTTAGTGTGGGAAATAAAGTTACTACGGAAAAGTTGTAAATCCTTTTGTGAAACTTTGCAGCTGTAGCATGGTATTACAGTTTTTGAATGTTTTATTCTAAGGATAAATTCACTAGACTGGAATATTTTTTAATGATCTTTGAATAACAGATCTAACCTTAAAGGATATGTGCGTGTGATGTACTAATTTAAATGACGAGATGTATGTAAAAGCGTGTATGTAAATTTTAAGAGGCCTTGAAATTGCACAATATTAATACTTAACGATTTAATTAACAGATTTTTATGCTCCTTTTATTAATTGTTTCTATGATCTTTCACTAAACCCTAAAGCAAACTGACTATATTCTTCCTTATTGAAAGAAGTAATTTTCTCAGTAGGAGATATTCATATGGTCCTGTGATCAACATTCTATTTGAAATTGAATATGAACGATTGCATCGTCACAAACTTTATCACACTGGAAGATATTTGTGTGAAATGAATACAGTTGTGTAAGTGAATTATTAACACCCAGGTATGGAAAATTAATCATTAGCATTCATTTATTATTTAAATTTCAGAGTCATTGTGGGCTAGTGACTTGTTTGTAAAGACTCCTTTTCATGTAGATAATGAAAAGCTTAGAAGTAAATGTAGGAAACCCCAACTTTGGTCTCAGATTCACTACTCAATCACTGTGCCTTTTCATATGCTGTTTGCAGTTTTCCTTTTTTGCAATGTCTTTCCCGTTTCTCTCCCTGATTCAACATTGACCTGCCCAGACACATTGTTTGTCCCTACCTATGAGTTGGAATCTACTGGTAGACTTCAGCGGGTTTGATTTTTTTTTTTTTTTTTTTTGGTGTGTCGGCAGGATGACCTCCTTGAAGGTCAGCTTCTCCTTGAAGCTTTCCTTGTCAGCCCCTTCCTCTGTGGCCCCTGTACTTCTGTTACACAGCCTCCCACGTTAATTTGCAATGACTTTGTTTAGTTACTTGTTTTCTCCTATCAAACTGTAAACTCTTGAAGATAGGACCTGCTTTATTCATTCATGTATCCCCAGTGCTTAGAACAATTTTTCAATTTTTGCATCTGAAATAATATATAGTTAAAATTAAGACAGGAGTCAGTCTTCTCAATGACTTTTTTAAAAAGACTCAGATTCAGCAAAGTTATTCCAAATAAGACAGGTTTTCCTTTTGCATTATATTCTTCTACCAGTGAAAGTGTCGGCAGTGCATGTTAATAAAATGGAATCCTTATATAAACATTTATAAATAAAAACTAAATTATTAAGAATGGAATAGATTGTCTGCAAAGTTTCTCCCCCCAGTATTTTTATATTTTGACTACATTTAACTATTTAGCAAAGCTTTTTGTTATTTAAATCATTTCAAACAGCATTAATCTCTACTCTGAACTCCTAAAGCACATTTAAGAGAACACTGTAAGTTTGAATGACCGAAAAAAAAAAAAAAGGATGTTAATTAACCCCTTCTCATGAAGTTTGAAGTCAGGAGCCAAGTCTTACATGCCTTATATAAACCCTCAGCACCTAGCCTAATTTGGGACACATGTTAGGTGCTTAATAAAGAGTTTTCAACTGGCTGATGAGACATAAAACTGTATAATTATTCTGGAAAACTTTTCCACAAGGTGAAAATGATTATCCAAATAACTAAAGCCCACTGTGCAATGAGTAGTTATTTGCGTTTTGCTGATACTTGACTTTCCACCTTTCTTTGGTTGTGGAAACCTGATCCCTGACTATATTACGCTTTTAACTTTTTAAATATTATTACCTTGTTTTGGACAGTGGCAATCTACAACTGTGGGGTTTTTTTTCCCTTTGAATATATTTTGTTTCTGAGCTACAGCTTGAGTAACTGTAATATTGTACACTGCTAACGCATTTTTTCATTTAAGAATCTCAAAGTAATTTTCAGAAATTCAGAATCAGACAAATATTTTTAATTCCACTCGTGGGTATTATGTAACCTTAGGGCTAAATCAGAAAAACAAGAGTATAATTTTAGATGATGACACTTATTTGATTGATTATTCTGTGGGACCAGGTGGGTCTGCACAGATTATGTCCTTTTGCATGCCTGAATTTATAGTAAATTAAATCTATTCAGATAAGCTTCAGTACCGAAGGGCCCAGAAAATATTTATTTTGAATAAAATTGACTCAGTTATCTAAGATGTGGGTGAAGTACAAAGGGTAAATTGATGTAACTAATGCAAAATGATAGTCCAGAACATCTTCACACTTTATTGACTTTCATACTATGGGGATAATAGAAATTTCCTTGGACTAGGAATGATTAGAAAAACAAACACTGGCTTTTCCTTGGGCATTGTCATGTACTGACCTCATGATCCTGGGCAAGTCATGTCATCTCTTTAAAACTTAGTTAATTCAGAAAAATGGAAATAACAATGCCCAAACTCCCTATCTTAGCGTTTTCATGAGACTCAGTAGATATAACTGAAATCTTCGAAAGTTTAAGGAATTTGCAAGGAAATCTATCTTTCAGTGAAATAATCCCCCAGCTCCCCATAGGAAAGAGCTCTTACAAGTCAGAACTCCAACTTCTGTCTTGAGATTCAGCTTCCACTGGGAAAGCTTTGCTTTTCCAATGCTTCAGCTAACACAACTGGAGGTGGTCTGACTCCAGGGTTATACTCGTAACTAATCTACTGGCTACATGCCATGTGATCTAGTTTACTCATCTTTAATTTGTGACCCTTTCCTGGTTTCTTTAAACCTAACAAGCAGGAATGTCTTAAGCATAGATTCTTTGAGCTCTAGACCCAGGAAAACGGGAAGGAGGGAGTTCCCGCTCCGATCTGTCCAATTCTAGTTTCTTAACAGGATACATCCCTTTTCTAGATCATCAACATCAAAAATGTGCACCCCTTTAAGGAAGACACCACCCCTTATTCTGGGATCTCAAAAGGCAAACATCAGACTACAACAGCATAAGGGTACGGTTTCCTTACAGCATTACAATAATGAAAGTCACTCTTTCTTATTAAGCTATATAAATATATACGTTGTATCACTTAATCCTTATAAGGCTGATAAACTAGTATCCCCAATTTACAGTTGAAAAAACTAAATCTTCACATAAAGAGTCTACTTAAGGTCACAAAGCTATGTAACTACGAGAGCTGGCTCGGAATAGAGTTCTGATTCTGGTCTCTATACATTTGCCTGTTCTTGATAATTTCATGTAAGTGGGATCATACAATCTTTGTCCTTTTGTGCCTGACATTTCACTCAGCATAATGTTTTCAAGGTGCATCCATGTGGCAGTGTATATCAGAATTTCATTTCCCTTCATGAATGAATTATATATATATAAACCAAACTGTTACCATCAAGTTGATTCCATAGTGACCTTATAGAACAGAGTAGAACTGCTCCATAGGTTTCCGAGGAATGGCTGGTGGATTCGAACTGCTGACTTTTTGGTTAGTGGCCGAGCTCTTAACCACTGTGCTACCAGCTCTTAACCACTGTGCTACCAGACATATATCTCACATTGCATTTATTCATCTGTTTACACTTGGATTGTTTCTACCTTTTGGCTGTTGTGAATAGTACTACAATGAATGTACAAGTATCTGAGTCCCTGCTTTTAAGTCTTTTAAGCATATACCCAGGAGTGGAATTGGTAGGTCATATGGTTAATTCTATGTTTAACTTTTTGAGAAACTGTTTTCCACAGTGGCTGCATCATTTTACATTCTCATCAGCAATGGATGAGGGTTTCAATTTCTCCACATCCACATCAGCACTTGTTTTCCCGTTTTTCTGATAATAGCCATCCTAGTGGATGTGAAGTGGTATTATGGTTTTGATTAATATTTCTGTAATGATGTACTTTGGACATGTTATCAGGAGGGAACAGTCCCTGAAGAAGGATATTATACTTGGTAAAGTAGAGGGTCAGGGAAAGAGAGGAAGACTCTCAATGAGATGGATTGACACAGTGGCTGCAACAGTGGGCTAAAGCATAGCAAAGATTGTGAGGATGGTGCAGGACCAGGTAATGTTTCATTCTTTTGTACATAGAGGGTCACTATGAGTCAGAACCAACTCCATGACACCTAACAACAACAACGACTAATGACATTGAGCATCTTTTCATGTGCTTATTGGCCATTTGTATATGTTCTCTGGTGAAATGTCTGTTCAAGTCCTTTGCCCTTTTTTTTAGTTTTGTTTTGTTTTTAACATTTTATTGTGCTTTAGGTGAAAGTTTACACAGCAAATTAGTTTTCCATTCAATAATTTATACACAAATTGTTCCGGGACAATGGTTGCAGTCCCCACAATGTGTCAACACTCTTCCCCAGTTCTACTCAGGGTTCCCCATTTCCCTTCATCCTGTTTCCCTGCCCCTCCCTACCTTCTCATCTTTGCTTTTGGGCATATGTTGCCCTTTTGCTCTCATATAGCTGGTTGTTTTATGGAGCACATTCCTCGAGGGTGTTATTGTTTATTTTATAGGCCAGTTATTTATTTGGTTGAAAGGTGGCCCTTGGGAGTGGTTTCAGTTCCAAGTCTGAAGGGGGTCTTAGGGCAATAATCTCGGGGATTCCTCCAGTATCTATCAAACCAGTAAGTCTGGTCTTTTTTTATGAAAATTTGTTCTACGTTTTTCACCCATTCTAACTGGGACCTTGTACTGAGTTCCTGGTCAGAGCGATCGGTGGTGGTAGCCAGGCACCATGTAGTTCTTTTGGTCTCAGGCTAGAGGAGGCTGTAGTTCATGAGGACAAAATTAGTCCTTTGGATTAATTGCTTCCTTGAGTCTTTGATTTTCTTACTCTCCCTTGCTCCAGATGGGAAGAGACCAATAGTTACATATTAGAAGGCTGCTCACAAGCTTTTACCTTTGCCCGTTTTTAAATTGGGTT